GAGGCTGCTGCCCAAGTATCCGTATGTGGTATAAACATACCTAACGACCGTGCCATGTGCGACGGAGGGCTGCTGTCTAGAGGCCCTGACAGAACCCATCACAGCTAGCCCTCCCCACGGGAGGAGATGGCCCATCTTTCCCCCTCAGAGAAGCCGGTGGATTTGCACAGGCACCAGTCTCTCCTAGCTGGGAAGGCATGTCCACAGAGCAGCAGCAGGTGAGGGTACGATCCTCTGTAAAGTCTAAAGTGAAGCCAGCAAGCTCACAGCCTTAGTCACGGATGGTGTTCTCAGCTGCCCAGATCAAACGTTCAAGGTGGAGAGAAAACCATGCCCTCCAGCCATGGCCCGAGTCCCCAGCCAGCCAGGCCCACTGGCTGCGGCTCAAAGCCCCAGCCTCTGCTCCGGTGGACTTCTGTCAGCCGTTGACAGGCTCGGAGCTGGAGTTAATGGTGAAACCGAGAAGCCAGGGGACCCTCACGTGACGCCGTGCTGGCCACAAGACTGACGAGCCCGTCTCCCCTCTAAGTGCAATGTTTTCAACGGCTCGGGAAATGCACCCACGTGGTAGCTCCTGCTCGCTTCGGGCGGTGATCATTAGCTTCCCTGACAGACAAGGGACACTGCAGGAGCCTGCGGCCAGGAGACCCCCGGCGAGGTCCACCCCGTAAGCGCCCAGGTGGCAGCCAGGGCAGCAGGGCGACCCCACAGGGTAGAACAAGGCAGGCCAGATAAAGCCTGCTGGCTGCAGGGAGGACTGCACAGTAACATGCCCGACACCCTCAGCTGAGGGTTGGGTGGACAGTAAGCTGAGGGCCACAGCGGAACAGTACCCCACCAGGAAGACAAGCTCAGTTCCCGTGCTCGCTCCAACCCGCCGGACCTCACACAGTTGCCAAGTGCAAGCAGCCAGGCGCAGAGAAGCTGCGGGAGGGCCCTGGCCACACGAGGTGTCCCCAGGGCTTGTCAAGTGGCTGGAGGAGGGACAGCGAGCACTGGGTTTCCTTCCAGAATGATGGAAACGTCTGCATGAGTGGTGACGGTTTCACAACTCTGTAAAAGCCCCAAGTGCACGTGCACTGACCGGGGCCTTAAATGGTGAGTGCCGTGGCCCAGGAACTTCATCTCCTAACGCTGTTCCGCAGAGACCAGCAGCCCTCCCCTCCAGGCTGGCCTCTCAGCTCATCGCCACACAGCACTGGGTGACGGTGCGAGGGAGGTGCACCCCAGAGAAGCGAAGATTTTAACCTGGGTCTAGAGACACAAGCTGCAGAGTCGGAGCTGACACAGCCGCGTTTTCTTTCCAGTCCTTCCTCATGGCTCCCCGCTACTGTTCTCTGTGACTGTGAATGTCACAGGACACTTCCCAGCTTTGTCCCAGGGAGCTGCTGGCGGATTCGAAGAGGCCACCTTTCGGTTACCAGCCCAATTCTCTACAGAGAGCTAGCCACCATGAAAAAGGACTCGGGAAAGAGAATCAGAAGAAAGAAAACGTCCAATCATCTGAGTCTGCAGAAGACAACTGCACATCTTAGGAAAAAAACAAGAACCCTCCCAACAAAACACAAGACCTACATGTAAGCTGGGGGCGGCTGCTTCCCTCCACTGAGGGGCAGGGCCCGGACAGCCAGAGCGGGCCTTCGCGTCAAAGCAGCAAAGGTACAAGACTGTGAACGAGCCCAACAAGAGTAATCTTTGTGACCTCTCACTAAAAATCCCCATAAACTAGAAAACCTCCCCAGAACCACCAACAGGAAGCTCAGGGCGCCCCATGCAGACGCCACTCAGCAGGGACCCAGGGGTGAATGAAGCACCGAAGCCACAGCCTCAAGGCCACTCCTGACAATGACACTGACCAAGGGGCACTCCCGATGCTCCCATCTCCCAGGAGGGTCAAATCCCCCCCAGCAGCTCTGCAAGCGCCCATCTGCAGGACATGGACGTGCCCTGGCTGCGGCACCAAGACTCCTGCACGGATGCACAGCCCAGTCCACTCTAGGAAAACAAACGAGACAGAGCAAGACAGAAGCAAGCGGAGGACCATTCGCCGGACACTGATGGACAGGCAGGTGCAGAACCTTGATTGATCCTCAGAAATCCCTCCATTCCACGGGGATAATGGAGAAGCTGGGACACAGCCAAGGTCCCACGCTGTAAAAGCTGCCAGACCTGAGGGACAGGTCAGCGCTCGCAGAGGGCAGCCCTGCTGGACAGAGTCCCCCCAGTAAAGGACACTTCTGGATTCAGCGGGCTGTCCCCTTCAAAATCACCCTGAATCGTGGTGGCAGATGAGGAATGCGGAGTGTCCCACAAGCTGCCAGGAAGAACAGGTCTGTCCCGGGAGAGGTGCGCCTCAGCAGTGAGGTGGGAGACCAGGCTTGGTCGCATGCACGTTGTCAGGAGACAGCTCCTCAGAGAGGAACAGCATGCTTGGCAAAGAGGTCAGCCAAAAGGGAAAGGCCCTCAGTAAGCTGCCGGACACCATGGCTGCAGCCATGACCATGAGGGGGCACAGGATGGGCAAGGGTACCACGAGCAGGAGCCCACTCTGGGCCATTAACAACTGCCTTCCGCTTTTACAAAGAGGAACACACACAGTGCCCGCTCACGGTCACCACAAGTGTCATCAGCGCCTTGCACTTAAAGCCAACGTCAGGAGCACAGCAGGCTGACCCCAGACAGGCCAGGAGTCACGCCGAGCCTTCTCAGCCTCAGACAACCCCACTTCCCAGGGCCCCGCTGGTCCATGGTTTGGGCTTGAAAGAACCTGTTTCTGCCTAACACAGACGTGGAATGTAGGTAAAGGATGAAAGTAATGCCCCAGAACAATAGTAAACGCGGCATGACGTGGAAGGCGTCGATAAAAGCCAACGTATATACACCACAACCACCACATCTTAACAGATGTCTCTAAAAGCCACAACCCAGGGAAACAGCTCACTTTGAAGGGGTGGGGACCCGGAAACCTGAGGGTTTTCTCAGCCACTCCATCAAAGGTTAGGTCCCGTCAGACATGTATGTGCCTTCAAAAACAGACCTCGGAGCCGAGCTGCACAGATCTGCAAGGGGTACAGGGGCCAGGGGCTGCCTTGCACCCAGGAAAGCTGGTCTGCAATGGAAACCACACAGTCGGGGAGAACGTCTGCATGGAGGGGAATTTAGGGGCAGCCAGGATCTGGGCTCCAGGGGCTGGTCCCCAACACTCTTGTTCTGAAATCTTTCTATACAACATCATTTTTCTGGGGGCAAGTTCTACGCCCTTCTGGAGCCAGGGGAACCGGCAGAGGGTTGAACTGAACCCAGGTCCCTCTGAGGACTGACACCGGAAAGCACCCATGGGCACCCTCAAATCCAAGTCTGCAGTCGCTCAACTTACCCTGTGAACACACGTACAAGTGCAACATGCCTTTTCTTTCCCGCCAGCAAAGGCACATCCACCTCCCTGGTAACACACGCTTTGTGTGTGCACACACAGACATATATGCTTAAGCTTACACACCAGGGAGCTCCGGTGGCCCGGTGGTAAGGCATTGTTGACCTGCCAACCTTAAATACACGCATCTGCCCAAACACACACTCACTGACACGCGTGCACACGCGCCCACCGGCTGCCCCACAGCTGCACCTGGGCCCTGACGCTGCCTGGAGCGGAAGGAAACTGGCCCAGTGGCTCTGACCGAGGCCCGCGCGTCCCCCTGGGCTCTAGCGCCTTCCAATCTCAGCCTCCCCAGTGGCTTTGGCGGCTGTGGCGGCCAGTTCCTTCCTTTTCGGGTAATCAAGGCCAGATTGGGAAGTGCAGAGTGATGCACGGTGTCTGTTATCACCAGCCGATTAAGGGGACAAAGGCCCGAGTGAGCGCTCTGCCAGCCAACGGCCTCCACTGTAAGACACAAAGGGGTCCCGGCTCCCAGATCTGGACAGAGGCCACGCGGACAGGGACCGCTCAGGGAGCCTTACGAGTCTCCTCCTGAGCCCTGGCCCAGGTCCTCCTCCACCTGGGGTCTCGGCTCCCTGCCCAGGCCCCTCTTCCCCGCAGTAACGGGGGTCTTCCCCGCCCGTCCTGAGACCCTCCTTCCCTCCCAGGCCCTCCTTCCCTGCTGCTGTCCATCTCCACGTGAGGTTCTCTCCATCCCAGGCCATTTCCCAGGGATCCTGTCTGTCCACCTGGAGCCCTTCCTCCCTGCCCAAGATCCATCGTGCCTGATGCCAGCGTCTGTCCCTCACCTCCCTCCACCTTTCGGGTTCCTCGTTCCCCCCAGGTCTGTCCCTCAGCTCTGTAGGTGGCACTCCTCCCTGACCTGCTCCATCCTCATTCCCCTCCCGGGGCTCTGCCCCTCACCTCCATACCCAGAGGTCTAGCAGGTGCTCCACCTATCAGGTTCCTTCCCCCTCCTCCAGGGTCTGTCCCCCAACCCTGGGCTGCCTCTCTGAACCGGGAGGTCCACCCTGGGCTCACTCTTTTAAGGTCCCTGTTCCTCCTACGGTCTGGTCCTGCTCTCTGCATCTGGAGATGCAAGGCTCCATCTTTTGGGGTCCTCATTCCCCCCAGGGTCTGTCCCCCAACCCTGAGCTTCCTCTCTGCACTGGAAGGTTTGCCCTGGGCTCCCCTCTTTCGGGGTCCTCGTTCCTCCTAAGGTCTGGGCCTCCTCTCTGCATCAGGAGGCCCACCTGGTCTCCACCTTCCAGGGGTCCTCGTTTCTCCTAAGGTCTGTCCTCAGCTCCCAGCCTCCTCTGCATTGAGAGGTCCGCCTCAGGCTCCATCTTTTGGAGTCCTCGCTCTCCCCTGAGTCTGTCCCTCAGCTCTGAGCCTCCTCTGCAACCGGAGGTCCGCCCCGGGCTCCACCTTCCAGGGGTCCTCCTCTCTCCTGTGCGTCCACCCGCGCCCTGGCCTCGCCCTCCGCCCAGGCGCCCACCTTGTGGCAGGCGGGCAGGTAGGCGATCGCGGGGCGCCCCTCGCCCTCTGCCCCGCCCTCGCCCCGCGCCCTCCCCCCCGCGCCCACCTTGTGGCAGGCCGGGCAGGTGGTCCCGGGCGCGCCCTTGCCCCCGCCGCCGGTCAGACTGCTTTGGATCTGCGTGAGCTCCTGGCGCAGCACCTGCTTCTGGTGGAAGCTGAAGGCCGGGTGGTTGGAGGCCATGGTGAAGAGCAGCAGGAACTCGTCGCCCGTGCGGCCCTCGTTGAGCTGCAGCCCATAGTTGTGGATGACCGAGTCGATGTGCGTGAGCGTGCGGTACAGCACGCCCGCCGCCTCGCGCTGCTCCGAGCCCAGCAGCGCCAGCGACACCAGCAGCTTGCTGCGCACCACCTCGTCCGTCAGGTTGGTGAGGCTGCCCAGGTCGGCCGGGTTGTTGGCCTTGATCTCCGAGTCGCGCAGCGAGTGGTAGTCCTTGCGCGCCAGGTCCTCCAGGCACGAGCCGAGGAAGCGCAGCTCCAGCGGGATGCACAGGTCCAGCAGGCCGCACAGGAACTCCACGCGCTGCGGCGACGGCAGCTCCGAGAACCAGCGGTACACGCCGTCCCTCTGCAGCGGGCAGCGCTTCTCCACCATGCTGCCGCCCG